TTTTTACGTGAGCTTCTTTTTCCGAACGAGGTTTCCTAGACAATGCTTATCTAGGTTTATCCTCGATTGGTCAACTCGAGTTCCCTAGATCAGTTTCCCGGGCTCATTATCCCATTCCACGAGGTGGCTCGGGATAAGAGGAGCCTAGTCCGTACCTCCTCGCGAACTCACTTTTTTTTTTTTTTTTTTTTTTTTATATAAAAAGGGCAAAAATGTAAATTGGGGTGCGGTATTTAGCAAAAAGGGTGCGGTATTTAGCAACACCCAAAAATAAAACATGATACGAAAAAAATGGAATTCAAATTTTGCCATAAGAATCTCCAAATTTGTTACCAAAAAAATAGGATTTAAATTTTGCCATAAGAATCTCCAAATTTGTTACTAAAGATTCACATGTGTTTTTTCAAACTTTTCATTAATAGTAAGTCAAACATTATATTTATTTGGTCAAACTTTCTATTAATGTATTTTTCCAACAACCTCTTTATATATATATAGATTTGTAAGCTATATATTATATATATAATGATGTGATGAAAAAAGTATATTAAAAATAACATAATATTTTATACATGCAAATAAAATGCAATAAAACCGTATATGTAAATTTAGATAAATTGTTTCAAATGTAATTACTTGTTGTTGTTGAATAATTATTTACAAACAAATAGAATAATCTCACAAAAAATCATTATAATTACAAAATTGATTTCTTTATGCTTGTAAGGAAAATTGTTAGAGGTTATTAAAAAAATAAGATATGCTCAAAAGGGATAATTCAAAAATGGTCACGGAGTTTTTTTGGTATTGAAAAAAAAGTTAGCAAAAAAAAAAAAATAAAATCATACATTGTTAATGATAAATATTTAATCGCTTTTTATATAGATGAGTATTATTAATTAGATTCATATTGACAGAAATTAGAGAAAAACGGGTGCGGGTCCACTAACATGAAGTGCACTATGGGAAAAACGGGAAAAACTCATATGAAGCCCAAATGAAGTTCCATCTCAAAACTAATTGGTGGAAGGAGGAGTAACTCATTAGATAAGGTGGATCTATTTTTTATATATTAACGATGTGAGATAACTCACAAATGATATATATGAAATTCGGAGAGTGTGATATATATGAAATTCGGAGAGATTTAGAAGGACAAAAAAAAAATGTAGAAACGTAGTAGATTAATAAAACACTTGGCTGAAAAAAGTTAAAATAGTTGGGCAACAGCCAACAAGGCAATGTCATTTTCATTGAAGATGTATCCTGATAAAAATAGCAGCCAAGTGTACAGAAGTTCAGACTTTCAGTTAGCACATATGATCATAAATAGATAGGAAAAAGATACTATATAATATTTTTATTTTTCTGATTATATGGTCAATATTTGCTTGATTAGCTGTATTTAAATAATAAATATTTCTTTTTTTTTTATAGATTATATTACTAATTTTATTCACCTTTCCACTTTAATATCGTTAAAATAGTAGATAAATTCTAGTGAGAAACATTGGTATTGAAAAANTTATTGGCTATAGGTGAGAAAATAAAATCTGATAACCTACATTTTACCTGCAGCTTGCTGCTTGCCCATGCTTTTCTAACCTACATTAATTTACCTGCAGCTTCCTGCTTGCCCATGCTTTTCTAACCTACACTAATTTACCTGCAGCTTGCTGCTTTCCCATGCTTTACTGGAGCGTTGTTCCTTGTCATGATTTTCAACTTGGCCGGACAAAATCAACTAATGAAACTTAGTACAATTTTTAATATTGTGAATACTTTGTTACAGTAAATATACTATACTCCAAATAATCAAATTACAAATGGTTATATCAGCAAACTCATAAATTTGTGAAAAAAAATCAAATTCTTTTCCAAGCTTTATTGTATTGTAATGATATTTTATATTTATAAAGTCGGTCTTTCTCATTAGTTAAATATTCAAGTATTTTAAATTTATAATATGTGATGATATAAAATATAAATTACATGTACATATGTAGTGTTAGCTAATTATTTTATGAAATACAAACATTTTTTTATTTATGATATTTTTATTTTCAACATCATAATAATATTTAGTACCTCTTTATAAATTATTTAAGTGAAGAAATAATTTATAAGAATATTTTTAATATGTTAATACATAATATCCACATTTTATTTTCAAATCTACGGGAAACTACACTAAACCGATTCTTATGGTATAATAAAACATTAAAGTTTTTATTATTTTTAAAATAGTTTATATTTGATACTTTTCAATTTGGTTTGATTAATTTTAAATTTTATCTATAATGATAGATAGAATTATTATTTTTATTATATAAAAACAACATGGATGTCAAAATAAAGTGATGTAGGGAAGCGTACGAATGAGAAAAATAAACGAGATACTCTCTCGATAAAATAAACGTGATACTCTCTCGAAAAAACAATATATCAATTCATATTTTATTCAAAATTGGAGTCCTTTAAATAAGGATCCTAAACCCTATTCCTAACTTGTCCAACAAGACAAGATCTTTTATAATAATATTTAATTCCTAACTTATTTCTTCAAGATACCTAATAATAATAATAATAATAATAATAATAATAATAATAATAATAATAATAATAATAATAATAACAATAATAATAATAATAATACTAATCTACACCATTCTCCCTCGGTTCGGAAGGCTTTGCCCTCGAAGCCGATGCGCACCCGTGGCCGGCGTGTGGTGTCGAATCATAGTAGGAAACCCCCGTCGTTTTCCCCGGTCGAACACGAAAGTTGAACGGCAATGTGATCTACCTTGGCGAGCCACAAAATCCTCGGCTGCGCGAATGACACTTTTCCTCTTCTCCACTTGAGTTACACGGCCAACCCAAACAAATACTTCGGAACCACAATCCAATAAATAACATTTTTTGTTTTCGAGAATCGACTTGGAAAGTGCACCATCGTCAACAATGGCAAACTCACACTTCCCTTCATGAAACTGCTGCAACATATATAACTGCGTCTCTTCTTCAATGGTTTTGATAGCAGCAGTTCCAGCTTCATCCTTCAGCCCCGAAGGCTCCTTATCAAAGATCGGCGGACCGTCCACTTCGCCAGTAAGACGCTCCTCCACCTCCTCGGGTCCTTCATCAAACACAGGCGGACCATCGTACAATGGTCCGTCAACTTGCTCTCCGTCAAATTCGGAGATGTCAACGCGAAACGGCCCCTCCCATCGACCATATTTGCGATCAAGTCCCCAATCATGTCGGGCACGATATCCGCCGGCGAAGGCAGCCTCCTCGCGCCTTCCTTTGTCGTAGCGTTGATCGTCACCGTCCACGAAGACCAGGCCCCGTCGCCGCATGTCACGGCCGCCGTATGTAGCGAAGGGGTCAGTCTCGACGTGCGAGGTTGGAAAATCATAGAAGGGATTCACTCCCGAGACTGTCTCCTCACCGTCTTCGTCGCCGGAAGGTGGTTGTGGAGATTTCTGGCGGGGTGCCCCGCCTGAACCACGACCTCCACTTCCGCCACGAATTCCCCCACGCACGCCCCGTTTGCCGGCGTCACGGTACGCTTGCTTGTCCCGAACTATGGTACGGATAGTTAGACGTATGTCCCCGATCTCCGCGGACAGATCTGCAATCTCACGACCCATCATCTCGAGCTGGCGGCCAAACCACTCGGTCCGGCTGCTCAGGTTGTAGATGGCAGCGACACGCCTGTCGTTTTCAGCATCTTGTCATCGTGACAGCATCGTGAATCGTGCTGACTTCTGATACCAACTGATGTAGGGAAGCGTACGAGTGGGACGATATTAATGAGATCACAATCTCAAGAACACCAAATCAATATATCGATTCCCATGTCCCAGCAAAGATTTTTCTCCGTCATTGGAGGCTCTTCGTCAAAATAGGCGGACAATCGTACAGTAGCCCATCATCTTTCTCAAAAATCGCACTCTGTTGCTGCACATCTTGGTCGTTGTGCGCAGCAACGAGCATAGTCTCGATGGGCGGAGGCGGCCACTCTCCAAAGGGATCCACCTCCGAGATGGTCTCCTCGCCGTCTGCATCGCCGGACGGCGGTTGTGGAGATCACCGACGGGGTGCCCCGCCTGGAACACGACCTCCACTTCCTCCTTGAACTCCCCCGCGCACACCCCGGTCGCCGGCGGCACGGTTCATATGCAAATCCCAGACCACGTTGTTAAGCGTCAAACGCAAATCCTCGATCCCCGTCGAAAGATTTGCAAACCAATCTGTGAAACGCACGTCCAACTGTTCAAATCGGTAGTCGATCTGTTGAAACCGATCGTTGAATGTTGCATCACGTCGTTTGTTTGCGGCATCTTGTCGTCGATGCCGTCTCAGCGACATCGCGAATCTTACTGACTGCTGATACCAACTGATGTAGGGAAGCGTACGAGTGGGAATGATAAACGAGATACTCTCTCGATAAAATAAACGAGACACTCTCTCGAAAAAATAATATATCAATTCATATTATTATTCAAAATCAACCATCCAAAACAATAGATAGGGAGTCCTTTAAATAAGGCTCCTAAACCCTATTCCTAACTTGTCCAACAAGACAAGATCTCTTATAATAATATTTAATTCCTAACTTATTCTTCAAGATACCTACTAATAATAATAATAATAATAATAATCTACACCATAAAGGTAGTAAACGATTATGAATTTTATTTATCATATATTATAAGCTTTTAAAAATAAAAAAATACATATTTATATAGTAATTCTTATATGACAGTAATATGTGGTAATTTAAAAAACACGCAAAATAGTTTAAGGTAATTTCTAATCTAATTGTCAAAATCAAGTATGTATATATGACAATATAAAAGAAAAATTTATATTAAATAAGCTTCTCAAGCGAACAAGATCGTCATTAAAATTAGCATGTGTTTTGAACTAATATATACAAGGATTATATATATTATTCACATATCAAAATGTCACTAATTTTAAGGTTATAGTCTTACAATTATTTTTCCATATACTAACTCACAATATCTTAAGTGGGAACTAGATAATCTATTTTTTTGAAGAAAAAAAATGTGTTACCAAGCATATCCATGAGACTTTTATAAGGTGATATTATTATATTTAAATTATTACATAAACATTGTTAGAATATTACTTGTGAGTTGTCCCACATTGGCCTTGTTTGGCGATCAGCGGATAGCGGATAGCGGATAGCAGATTGTATCAGCGAATAGCGGATAGCGGATTATATTAGCTGATTTGACTAGCGGATTGCATTAGCGGTTTTTAAATAAGTGTTTGGTAAATAGTTGAAAGCTTATAGCTGTTTGACATTACAAAATGACCAATAAAGATATTTTATTATTTAGGGTGTATTCTTTTAATAATATTATATTAAAACATTTAATATTCTTTAGTTGGTAATTTATAAATATATTATTTTTTTCTTTAAATTTCCTAAAACTTGATGAAAGCTTATAGCTGTTTGACATTACAAAATGACCAATAAAGATATTTTATTATTTAGGGTGTATTCTTTTAATATTATTATATTAAAACATTTAATATTCTTTAGTTGGTAATTTATAAATATATTATTTTTTTCTTTAAATTTCCTAAAACTTGATGAAAGCTTATAGCTGTTTGACATTACAAAATGACCAATAAAGATATTTTATTATTTAGGGTGTATTCTTTTAATAATATTATATTAAAACATTTAATATTCTTTAGTTGGTAATTTATAAATATATTATTTTTTTCTTTAAATTTCCTAAAACTTGATGAAAAAGTTATGAATTTTACATTTTTCTAGATAAATTAATCATATGGATGACATATTGTTATTTATTAGCACCATAAACCAATATAGATTTTAAAATAAATAATACAAATTAAAAAGTTCCAAGTAAAAAGTTTTTTTGTGAATCCTCTATCCCCAAAAAGCTCCTCTAATGAGCTTTTTCTAAATTAGAGTTTTGGGCCCAAAAAGTTTATCAAATAAGTTATTTACCAAACAGACTCAATAGCGGATTTGACGGGTCAAACCTCTCAATTAAGTCCAATCCGCTAATTTACCTTCAATCCGCTATCTACCAAACAGGGCCATTGTTCATACATAGAAAATAGACCCACTTTATAAGTCTAATGGGCTACTCCCCCTTCCACAAATTAGTTTTGGGATGGAACCCCACTTGGACTTTATATGGACTTTCCCCACTTATGGTGCACTTCATGTTAGTGGGACCGCACCCATTTTTCCCCAATTTCTTACAAACATAGAACAAATCACAACCCTTTGCACGATGAGACGAGTTTGAGAAAATTTGTTCCTATCTAACCACACCGTGTCTTTTACTATTGAATCCACGCGGGAGCGCGCACACACACACACACATACATATGTACATATATATATATAAGTCAACTCCTTAAATGAGTAAATGAGACGCAATCTTAGCCCTTGACCGACCGACTACATGTTGGCTATGACTGAATTTGACCGTCGAGTTTCCCACCACTCTGTCGTCTGCAACTACTACCACCTCCAGTCAGTTGGTCGTCGGATCTCCGAGCACCTCCATCGCCAGTGATGAGGGAACGAAAAGCTCTTGGTCCCGTTGTCTGCCATTGTTGTTGAACGTCTATTGAGCCTGTCGGAGAATTTAGATTCTGGAGTTTGTCTCCAGAATTTAAAAAAGTTTGGGATTCTTTGCTGAGAATTTGGATCGATTCAAAAAGAGTTGGGATTCTCTGCTGAGTCGGCCAATTTGAATTTGGTTTCAAATTCAAAATCATATAAAGAATCCCAATCTGGAGTGATTCATGTAGTAGAAGCACGCTCGGAGCACCTCCAGACGCTTGAGGGATTGAAATCGGGTAACGGAGAATTCAAAAATTGGCCACCGACGATGCAAAAAAATACAATTACACGGGTGCAGAATGACGACAACACCATGAATTGCGAGAGGACGAAGAAATTGATGAAGAAGAATCAAATTTGGGGTTGGGCTTATCTTTGAGAATTAGATAAATCCTGGGGACCTAGATGCAATTACAAAAAATCATGAATTATTGCAATTTGATCCTTGTGGCTAATCAGTAATTTATTTAAAGTTCAAATAATTTCACCCTGGCCCTTTGGCTTTTTTTATTATACAAATAATGCACATTTAGTTTATTTCTTGTGCATATTTAGATAATACACAATGCGTATTATAGTTATCAATGATGCATACTAAATTGAGAACATAAAAACAGTAGAAGGCTCAGGATATTGTCGTCGATTTTATATTTTGATTGCACATTTAGTTGATACCAAACGCATATTTATTTCACCCGAAGTATATTTAGTTCATAAACAATGCATAATTAGTTGATACTATTGTAACACATGTAGTTCATAAAAAGTAGAACCTCTATAAATTAATACTAGGTAAATTAATAATCTCTCTAAAATAATATTTTCTCCCGGTCCCGACTTGGGCCAATGTAAAAAATTATAAATTTTAATAAAATAATAAGATAATAATTTTTAGAAAGACCCTTTTATAAATATATAGTCTCAAAATCATAAATTAATAATCCTCTAAAATTACAAATATAATTAAGGCAATTTAGTAAAATATGAATCTATTGTTTTTTGTTTCTTCATGAAATTCAAATCTAAATTGATTTTGTCCTTAATTTTTCTCATTGCATTCAAAAGCTCTGGTGTCATACTCTCAAACTGCAACAAAAAGTTGTGAAGAGTTGTGGCTGCCATTAGTGTTTTCTTCCGTGTGATTGGTTCTAAATGTAATGAGGTAAGTCATAGTTTAATTTTAAGTGTATGCATTTTAATTATTACTTTTTATATAACTACAACTTAATTCTAACCATTAGATATGAACTTTTTATTCTTTATTTAAATGCAGATATCGAAAAATAAAATGATATAACAGAAATGGACAGATAAATATTGCACTATTCAACTTAAGACTTTACATTTTTAACCTTTTAATTTGAATCATTATCAAAATTTTTAATTTTTAGTTATCGTTTGTAAATACGACTCTGATCTCTAAACAATACGAGTTTTTGAATAATTTATTATTTAAATGTCGTTGCAGAAATATAGCGCAAAATAGCGTGAAATAACGCTAAATAACGTAAGAAAGAGTGTCATTTCAACATTTCACGTAAGCTTTTCGGGAAAAACACTAAATATATAAGGCTACGTCGCGTTTTTAAGAAAAAAAGTTATATAGCGAGTAATAGCGAGCTATTTAAAACAATGATTAAATTATTATATATCATATAATAATAAAAAAAATTACTTTTGAAAACTATTCTTCTACTAATTAATTTCATTGCTTTAAGGAAATCACTTGGGTGAAAAAAAAAACCCACAACCCGACCCGCAGGTTGCGTGTTTCCAGTTTCCCGGGGAAAATGATCCGGATTAATCCCTATAATTTTCTTACCATTCTGCTTTGTTTCGAGGAAAATTATGTAGTCTTTGTTTAATCGAGAAAAAAAATGGTGGACTATTGGAGCAGCAGGTCTGGGGTGGTGGGGTGGTCCCCTTTTCTACCCTCAATCTGGCAGCTATCATCACCCCTCAACCCGCTGTCTCTCCTTCTTATGCCATTCCCCTTCCTTTTCACCTTTACCCATACACTACTACTCGACTTCCTAAAATTTCAGTCGTCTAAGGGGGAAAAAAAAAAATAAAAAAATTCAAATTTACCTTACTCG